GTGGGCATCAGTGAGGGAGCGATTTTATTAACGCAGAAACTGGATTAGGGAATCATACATTTTTATACGCGCCGTGTCTAGAATCTCAAAGCCAATCCCGTAGTGACCTCCATTATCATTATTTATGACTGTGTTTTGTTTTTCTCAACCTACTCCTCATTTATCTTGATTTACGCCTCTTTTACACATCAGCTCTTAAAGTTGTCAGACGGATTATAAGAATATTAGAATTCTCCATATGCTGCAGTACTGGATAGGAAATATTTGTCAAGTCAAGCAGCCCTCCAATTTTGGGGAATATTGAGGTTTAAATTGTTTGAACACTTGCTTATTGCATTTAACGTAGGCGCAAGGCGAGCAACAATAAGAATGAAGACGACGAATCTTCTGCATTCCTCCAGGAGAAATTTAAGTCTTGGTGAATCGCATTGAAAGAAGGGAGTTGGGAGAAGTTGACTCCAAGTGATGCGATCTCGCTTACTTGAAAACCTAAAAACGACGAGACTCTCTTAAAAGAAAATAATGAAGAGGAAGAAGAGAGGAATACAAAGACAAACAAACAGGAGACATGAATTATGCATCGGTTTGCCGAAATTTGTAGACGTAACTTTTACACGCTCTTGTAAGTTAAGCACTGTAGTAGCCTCGGTGTTGCTCTACGCCACTGCATCTTTCAGCATTTTCGGAAGGAGCAGAAGAAGCAGACGAATACGCTCTTTATTAAATAGCAATTATAAATAGATAAAAGAATCACAGTTCTAGGGGTAGAGAGCACATTTTAACACCTTTCTGCACTTCAGTCGTGCCGCAAACTCTCGGTTTGATATAAACGACACCTTCATAGAGCACAATCAGTGAAGTCTTTCACTGCTATGTATTTAGTTCAAATACAGGACAAAAAATAAGTCTTTGAAAGAGCAAACTTGGCGCCATTTTCTTTACAAGTATAAATGGTTTACCTTTTGTCAAAAAATAGTCAATGAATTCGCATTTCTGGCTTAGCGTCGTCGGCTTGCAATGCTTCCAGTGA